ATTTTGTTTTACATTTTATATCCTTACTGTATTTCAAAATGTAAGGCCTGAAAGTTAAGATGTTTGTATGTTTTACTCTCTCTCTCTCCATTCAAAAAGATGCAACCTGTTACACAAACACAGTCAAAACAAATGTAGAGGCGAGGTGCACACCTGTCAGCCCAGGAGGGATGCAGCAGGCATACCTGGAGATGAAGCCCAGGTCTACCACCTATAGTTGTATAATCTTGGCAGGTTGAAGCCTACATAGTTTAGGGTTTGTTTTCATAAAAGTAGATGGTGAAAGTACACACAGAAAGCAGCAATGGTGCCTGAAATGTAATAAAAATTCAATAAAGTAAATAGAGTTTTGTGGCCATAATTAACACCAATAATATCAGTAACATTATGATTAATTGCATGTGTATTGAGACTTATGAATTATGAATTATACATACTGCAAAGCTCCAGAGAGGCTCTTCTACTTATGGTTGTTATTGTAGAATCTTCTTAATTGTTTCAATTTTAAAATAAACTTCCAATTCAACAACCATTTATAATATAGAAGGTACTGGTTGTTTCAGGGTATTTTTAAAGTACAAAAAATGTTTCACTTTTAATTAATATGTTAGGGAAAGGATAGCACTGTCTATTGAGTTAAAACTTTAAATAAGTGAACTCCTTGTATTGGTTTAAAGCTCTTGTTGTCCCTTTAAATGATGTTTGAAAAATAGCATAGTATGACCACACAGTTAATTTCAGTTTAAATTTGTTACTTGCAGGAAACCCCACACCCCCATACTACGACCTCTGTATAATCAACTACACAACTTCAGCGGTGATTTAATGCAGAGATTTTCAAATAGCAATTCACTGGAAATCATAGTATATTCCCTATATTTCACTCAGTGAAATTTAGGCCCATTGTTTTGTTGTTGTTGTTGTTTACTTAAATCAACAAATGAGACAAACCACTTTCTATCCCTTTAATTATGATTTTATACATAAAAGACTATCATCTTTTGCTTTTTTTCTCCCATGTTCTATTTTCATTTTTTTTTTGTAAAGTAAAATTTGAGGGCTTACGGAATCCCTTCCCTAGCTCACAGTTGTGAGATTTTTTTTTTTTTTTTCTCTATCATTGCTATTGTTCTATACCAAATGCTTGGCAATTTGTCTCTTTTCTGAAATGTGGCATTCTGCTGAACTTACTCTGCAAACTGTAGCCTAACAAGACCTACATGTAGCTCAATCTGTTTTTATGCATGACATCACCATTACAATTCAACACACTGTAGCATTTGAATATTTTAACAGGAATCAGAATGTCAATTCATTCAATTTATCATCCACGGTTAACTCTTGAATTTTTTTCTCTGTTGCTACCATCTGCAGCTATTCATTGCACTGTTCAATTCCATTATTCTTCTTTCTACCAACTTTTACATCTGTTCTGTTTTTCTGATCTTAATGTGTCTGTTTTTGCTTTCTCCAATATTTCAAGATTATACTGTGCAGTAGTATAAAACCCCAAAGATTTTCCATCCCTACTTCCATAATTCATTGTTCTGCAGATTCTTTAGCATAAACAAATATGTCCCAAAATATTTTATAAGTATGGTGCTACATTTCAATGGGCCATGCAGAAACAAAACCAAACCAAAAAACAAAAAACAAAAAAAAAAAACCTTAAATAAGTAAAATGACTAGAACTGCTCCAACAAGCACACTGAAATGTGTGAAATATTCTTTTGTCCACTGACTTAATTTAGCAAAGTTAAATTCAACATCAACTACGTTTATCATTGTTCGAGTATTAAGCTGTCATCCACAGAAATATAGATTAAGCCCCTGCTTTTCACATAAGTAACGTAGTGAGCATCATGTACCTCCCATGTAAGAAGGCACTTGTGATACAGAGGGGTGCAGAAGGTTGGTTATGCAAACTTTAGAAAGCATGGAGTTACTTTGTCTTCACATGTTTATTTTTTCACTTACCAAAGACCGCAAAACAGATAATACATAAATAATGGAGGAAATAACAAAGCAACCTGAAAGTATTTTGCCTCAATTAGTAATATTATCATGAATAAATGACAGAGCTATTAAAACCCAAATGACCTGATATTTTATATGTGAATTTGTATTTATAAGGAAATTACAGGTGTGACAGATTATTTAAGTTGATAACTTAAAAGCTCATACAATTTGCCAGGTGAAACAGGGCGTTCTTAATCATAACACTCTGAGATGCACAAGCAAAAAGAACCCAAGATCTACCCCAGCCTGGGCAACTCAACAGTTTATCAAGACCCCTTCTCAAAATGAAAAATAAAAAATGTTAGCATGGTGGTTCAGTGCAAAGGATCTGGGTTCAATCCCCAGTGTATCAGGAATCCTCACTGTATTTATTATTTTTTTTCAGAACCAGAGACTGAACTCAGGCCCTTGCGCTTGCCAGGCAAGTGCTTATTCTACTGAGCTATCTCCCCAGCCCTGTATTTATTAAATTAATTATGTGCTTTCTCTTTGGAATCCCTATCCATCCACCTTACCTGTTCCTACGCAGCCACTTGTGCCTCTACATCACCCTATTTGATCTAAAACTGTTCTCCTTCTAGCTTATGAACGAAGATGAGACACCTCCCAGAGAGAAGCCCATCCCTCTGTTGTGTTCTCTATCTTGTACTTTGCTTCAGAACAAAAGTATTTGTTTATAGAATGGCACCTTCTATTACTTTTATAGCCCTTGTAGCTTCTAGCTAATGTTGGGAGTTACTCAACAAATTTTGTTACATAAATTAATTATTTTTAAAATAGCATATTCGGAAAAATTTTATTTTTAAGACATAGTCCTGAAACTAGACTGGACTTTTCTCTAGAGAAACTGATAATGCAATGGCTTAAACCCAATTTTAATGAAATGCTAAGAAAATGTGTCCACATGGGTAAATCTGTTAAAGGAATCAAGACAATTAAGGAAGGGCAATGTTTATAGAAAACCATAACAATTTAATTGGTATACCTCTTCACTTCTTCTCTTACAAGTATACATATCTTGGGGCTGTGTTATATCTCAGTTGTATAATACTTGCCTAGGATGTGAGAAGCTCTGGGTTCAATCCCTAGCATCACAAAACCATGCAAATAAAAAATACTTTTCTTAATAAAATTTAGATTATTGATTATAGATAAAACATTTCATGATCTAATTATATACGATACAATTAAAGGAAGTCATGGGGCTGGCCAAATAGTTTAGTGGATCAAAGCACCTGCAAGCCGGCGCAGGGGCTGGCGTTTGATCAATGAGGCCCCGCCCCTGGGGCACCCTGAGACAGCGATTGAGACTGGGCGTGGTGGCGTGTGCCTGTAATCCCAGCTCTCTTGGGGAACTGTAAACAGGCGGATCACTATGAATCCGATCTAGTAATAAGACCCTGAACACCCTGTAGTCCCTTCCCTAAAATACAGGGGAAAAAAAGGAAGTGATGAAAAGATTTTTAAAAACCTGTTATAACAGACTCGAATCTAATGCAATAGTTTTCAGCAGACTTAGCATAATCAATAATGAACATTTTTAAAATGAGGATACTTAATTCTAAAAATCTTATGACAGATTCAATCACTGTCTTCTAATACATGATGGAGCAACAGATGACAGTGATAAAATGTTTCCCTTCTTAGCTTTGCAGAAGACAAGAAACAATTAACTAAAAGGGCAGGTAGGAAAGGGTTACAAAAGTAATGCTTCTGTAGTATAGGACAAATTACTAAAAAATGCAGTGAAAGATTTCCCTCAGAGACCTTTGGAATAGAATAGCTACTCTTTGATTTCTAGTCAGTGAAATATTAAATTCAAATCTAAAGGACTCTAAAGACAAACACCAGTTCATTCCTTAAGTCCTATCACCTGTGGTTCTCCAAGCCTACCCAGGATGCATCTCTTTATCTGTTGTCCATGGGGTCATTCCCACCATCAACCTCAGAGGTCAGCCCCTTGTGGAGCATAAAAGAACATCATCTCTCGAGTTTGTCCCTTAATTCCTCTTCTTTCCCCTCTGACTCCAGCTCATTAAAGGGGTCACAAACTGGAAAGAAATATAGGTTGCCCAAAGGATAAAAAGAAACGGAACGTAAAGAATCCTTGGAAGTACAGAACATGTTAAGGTAATTTAAAACACTAAAGTTAGAAGACCAATGACCTTTACTCTTTGTTATTCATGTTCAGTATTCCTTTTGTTAATAAGGGACATTTAGTTATAAATTTTTCTCAAGAGTAATTCCATTAAATAACTTTCACCTCCTATTTCATATGTAAATTATGTAGAATAAAATTCTAAGATAAGGTATAAGTTTAAGGTCATCATCACGAGTCACAGAAAGAGCAAAGATCTCTTTTCATAACCTTTTGCTTTTTAGTTCTCAATACTAACATTTCTTTTCCTACTTTATTTATAACATACATTGGTGTTTTATGAACAAATACCACAACCTTTATGAATAACCTTACATGATTTGGAGTGAATTTAATTATTTCATTGGTATGAGATGGCAGAGCTGGTAGATTTGAAATAAGGTGGCATCTTGGGGGTGATGAGGATCTATACTAGGATTTAGATTGAAGTTGAGGGAAACACCCAGAAATAAATGTATTGACATTTCATGTTGCTGCCTAATTAGCTGTGAATCTGAAACAAAATTTTGTCATTTATTTTATTTTATTTTATTTTATTTTATTTTATTGTACAGGGTCTCACTACACACCTCTAACTTGTCATGATCCTCTTGTTTTCAGTCTCCCCAGCCTCGGATTACAGGGGTGCGCCACCGCACCTGGACCCGGTCACCTGCTCAGCGCGCCCAGGGTCGGGCCCAGAGTGGCATGTGGTGCCGGGGATTGACAGTCATTGGGGGGAGGTTGCCTTTTTTCTCAAATGAAAAAGGGAACACATGTATTCACCAGGATGTGAGAGCACAGTTAAATAAGTATCAGAAGCGCAGGCTTCATTCCAGCTTACCTATTCCTGTTGCTGGAAATCCAATCTGAAATAAGAGTGGACGCCTGCTGATGACAGTGCTTGTTGCCAAAACTGCAGGCCAGCATGATCACTTCTCTGCGGAGTTCCCTGGACAGCATCAGAAGAAAAATTAAAGAGCAATATACACAGCTGCAGAGAAAGGGTACTTCATTACATAAGCTGTACGTAAGTAAAGAGTTACACAAATATGATTGTTAGATATGAAAATTCTATGTTGCGGATTAAAAGAGTTAATTAGACAGGTGGGAAGTTAAATAGTATAAATCTTCCTTGATCTCTTTACTCTGATCTCAACACCACAGTAAAGGCAGAGCTCAAATTAAAACAGAGCAAGGAAGTGCCTTTGTTCTTCCAGTCAAGCAGTAGAGACTGTGCCCCTAGCAGCAGCCCTCCCGGGAAAGTGAGACACACAACAGAGAAGAAAAGAAAGCCTCCTGCTACTAGCATCACAGTGGTATTGGAAGGGTGGGACTGTATAACTGGGTGGAGAGAAGAGTGTAAGAAAATAAGACAGTACTCATGTTGGTAGGAAGCTTGAACAAGAGATCCATTAAAATCATTCTTTGGCCATCCGAGCTTGATGTACGTTGTCGCAACTTGTTTTAATATGTATTCCTAAAAGGGAAATACAGGTAGAAATTTTTTTAAAATGTCAGTTTCAAATCACTCCATTCTGATTATTAAATTCTGTAATACAATAAAATATATTAAATATGCCTATTTTAAAATATTAGTAAATTTATAGGCACAGTAATGTTCTAGTTTTATTCAACTTAGTATTTCAAATACAGAAAACAAGGATAAAATACTACTGGGGTGGGAAGAATCTTTTTTTTCTTCCTAACGAATGACTAAGTAATTTGCACTATTAAATATTTTAAGTGACAATTTCTGCAACAACATGAGGAAAATGGGGAATATGGATAATGACACTAGCCATGCATTTGTAGAAATACATGCAGGTATCCTTTATGAAAATGAGTGACTGATGTATATGCATCCTGTGTCAATAGAGCATATTTAATGCAAAGCTGTTACATTGGCCCAGCCAACAACCTACAGTTATTGAAGATGAGGTACACAGAATACTTCCTTGTAAAGATATGTTATTACGAAGTCAACAATCTATTCAACCAATGACATACTTAAAACTCAACACAAAGGCAAGCTGTGTTCTCCGTCACTTAAACATGGACCTTGAATTTGTCAAGGGAATGAAAACATTGAAATTACAGTAAAAGCAATTCTTTTTTAAATTTTATTTATTTATGTGTATGTGTGTGTGTGTGTGTGTGTGTGTGTGTGTGGCCAGCTCAGCCCACCAGGGGGCGGGGCTGGCTGGCATGTGGTGCTGGGGGATTGAACCACGGTCTCTGTGCTTTAGCTTAGCTTGTTCTAGGTAGGTGCTTTAGACCACTGAGCCATCTCACCAGCCCAGCAATTCTTAACTTGCACTAAAAATGAGGTATCTGACATGGTGCACTATTAGAAAGGACAAATAGACACAAAAACGCATTATCCTTTTCTAGAAGTTTCATGCTAAAGTATTTCTGTGTTGGGAAGGAAAAGACATGAAATAGATATTCTAAGCAGTTAAAAATTGTATTATAATTGTAATGACCCATTTTTTCCTTGTCTGTTGTTTAAAAGCTTAGACAACACTAAAAGTGAACAGGCAAGTCAGGATAATTCTCTTTTAAATTATTTTAAAAATACTTTTTTACAGGCTTAGAACAAGAAAAAAGGAAGCAATAGTAACACTAATGGTTCCAATAAACAATATTCGTGTCATGACAATCCAATTATGAGTAATTCCAAGCATGTGGGTTAATCAGCAGAGTTAGCCAGAGTAATTTTTGTAAAACAAAGTTTAAGGTGAAAAAATAGCTAAAGAAAAACAAATGGTGCACAAAATAAGTAAAAAGCACTCTGATAAGAAATGTAGAAATCAAGGGGCCGGGGAGATGGCTCAGTGGAATAAGCGCTTCCCTGGCAAGTGCAAGGGCCTGAATTCAATCCCTGGTTCCACCCCCCGCCCCCCAAAAAAAAAGAAATGTAGAAATCAAAACTTGGCAGCTCTCAATCCCAAACATTATTCAAAAGGGTTATTAAATTAGATTAAGTGGCATTAGCAATGTGACTGGTTTTCCAGGTTTTGAGCTTAGAAAACCTGGTCAGGTAACATTTGGAATGTTTGTCGTGCCTTTATGTCTGTTTGGATTACGTGTTGTTTGCTTTCCTGCATCCCCTTGGACCCAATTATGAGCGGGCTTTTGCCTCAATGTTGATCTTATCCTTGTTAATTAAGGAAGTGAATTGGATTTACCATGCCCTTTTGGATAGAAATAATGGCTAAGAATCTTTATTGAAACTGTCTATTTTCTGTCAAGATCTTTGGGATCCCTCTACCCAAGTTAAGTCCATTGTGCACACAAAGCCCTTTAACTCCTGGAGCGTAAGTTTGAACTTCACGGATTTTCTATGTATATTCCTTCCATAATTTTGAAGCTTTTAAGCTTAATTGACATTTTTTGGTTAGAATAAAAAAATAACTTGTATTAAATTTCTTTAAATGATTGTCATTGGGAGAACAACCTGCTCAGGCCCCCTCCTCCTGTCCCTCTCCAGGAAAGGAGCTTTCTTTCCCCCCAGTAAATATATTCTGCTCATAACCTCCGTAATAAATAAATAAATAAATAAATAAATAAATAAATGATTGTCATTGGAGCTCCATAGAAAGTTAGAACAAAAATGATAAACTAGTAAAATTGACTAAAATAATTCAGGATAGGTTTGCATATATTAGAAAATGAGACAACGATTTCTCTTCTGAAAATGAGAAAAACAGAAATTATATATTTTTACATTGAAGACATTGTAGTTTTCCATGCGGTCCAGTAACTTATCTAGAGGATAAAGAGCCCGGCTGGCAGCATGCCAAGGAAGAAAATCCTTCTCCTCAGACAAGTATCTGATAATCTCCAGGGGAATATTCTGAGGCAAATAACCGGCCCTGCAGTCACAAAAAAAGTTCATGTTAATTATATGCACAAAAGATGCACGATGATGCAAGAATGAAGATTTTACTTGTGCAAATAAAGGGCAGAAAACAAGATTCATCTCAGTATTAAAAAGCACATGCAGAAGCTATAAAAATAAAATTACCTACTTTTTAAATATAGTACTACTTAGGATGCCAATGTCCCTCATTATATTCAGAGTAAGGCAGCGAAAGATTTGCATGAATATAAAAACACCAGAGTGTGTATTTTTTTTTCTTAAAGTGGAAATAAATATGGCATTTTAACAAACCCTAGGTCAGTGGTGATGACTTTTGGAGACCTAGTGCCCAGCCTGCAAGACAAAACCCATTTATTTAGCACAAAGTTCCAATGCTGCAGTTGAGCCCGAACGCTCCCCTTGTGGGGCAATGCTGGTGCAACTGAGCTCGCGGGCCACCCATGATGGCTGTGCGCGCCCACTGTGCCATGTGTGCCCTCAGTTTGCCACCCCTGCGCTCAAAGAAAGTCATCAGCAGTAACAAATAATTGGAAATAATTGATTGTGAACAATGTGATTTCAGTTCATGCATTCCTTTTTTATATATAGTACTATGTAGTAACATGTCATATATTGTTTTCAACAAGATTATCAAGTTAAACCGCCAATTTAAAATACAGAGTACATATGTTAGATTAAAATATATGCTTTATTTTCAAATCCACTTTATATTCCAGACATTTATAAAAATCAGTCCTAGGTGTTAATGAAGTCCAATGAGAAATGTTAAGATACCACTCTTCTCCTTTTCTGCCTTTAATATAGATGTTGTGTCAACTTCGGATATAATACTACATTATTTAGCAAAGATAAAATGTAGCTTTTTAAAACTGCCTGAATACATATTGTCTATATTTGAACAGGCCATATCTGCAAGAAAAATCCAAAAATATTTGTGTGCCTCTATTGTCAATAGATTCTATTTGACATCCTTGCAAAAATCAAGGCAATTATAAATGATGCTACATTACAGGTGGTCTCAGCCTTGACATTTCTACCACGGATACTAGCATTAGCAATTGTGGTGGATTATTTGTTCTTAACTATTGCTACAATCTGAATAATGGCATCTTTCCAAAAAAATCATGTTTTAGAAGTTGATATTCAATGTGACGAGATTAGGAGATAGAGGCTTTTGGGAAGTGAGTAAACCAGGAGGATTCCAACCTCGTGAATTGAGATTAACACCTTATAAAGGACGCTCAGATCAGCTCCCTGTCCTTTCCACTCAGTGCCATGGGGACCCAGGAGGAAGGCAGGCACCATCTTTGGAGTACACCAAGACCTCTCCAGACATCCAATCCACAGGAGCCTGGAACTTGGAGTCCCAGCCCCTAGAATTATGAGTAAGAATATTCGATTATTCATATCAGTTTAAGGTTTTTTGTTACAGCAACAGACAAAAGAGTCCATGTTAAATTAATGTAGACTTCTAACGTGAGACCAAGGAGAGAGGAAGTCAAACAAAACCTAGTGCTTTCACACTCCTCCAGTGTTACCTACTAGGTGGACTGTCTTATCGGTTCATGGTGGACGATAGACAGGAAGAAAAAAGGTCTTTTCTCATCTGCATCTGTAAATCTGCAGATTATTTTGGCCTTAGTAATTGTGATAAGCAAAATTACTCAACAGGTTAATACAAATGAATATTAACTGTGTTTGTAATATTTGTAATGAAACTCAAATCTACAGATTGTGCTTCATATTTTTTAAAAATTAAAATGAATTAAAGCAAATGAATATATGACATTCACGGGTGTGTTTCAACAGTGGGATAAGACCAGCCATCGTTAAAATCCAATGCAAGAATGGTGAGAAAACAAAATTTAAAAATATCCTATAAAGTTTGTATGGTCTAGAGTACATCGATATGTGTGCCACTTTTCCTGCGAAGTGTCCTCTTTATGTTTACTTGTAGAAATGGCATGAAGTTGGACTCTAGAAAGAGCAAAGAAGCACCTTTATCTTTTAGCTAAAATAACATTTCAATAATAGTTAAGTTTTGCCCTCGCACACTTACTGCTTGCTGAGAAAAGAACATAACGTTTATGAAAATAATGATTTGTTTTCTTCCTTAAAATAAATGTAGGGGCTGGAGAGATGGCTCAGTGGTCTAAAGCACCTACTTAGAACAAGCTTGGCAAGGCATCAGGGACCGCGGTTCGATCCCCCAGCACCACATGCCAGCCAGCGCCGCCCCCTGGTGGGCTGAGCTGGCCACACACACACACCCCCCTCTCTCTCTCTCTCTCTCTCTCTCTCTCTCTCTCTCTCTCTCTCTCAAATAAATAAAAAAAAATAAAATAAAATAAATGTAGCTTCTCATGTTTTAGATTTTGTCATTTGATAGTCCAACACTTTTAATTCTACCTGTTACTTACCATAGTAATCACTTATTTACCTCCTCTTTCCACATATCATGAGCAATAACATTAAAAATGGATTTATTTAGAATCCATTATTTTGTTAAAAAAATAACAAATGTAATATACTGTTTAGAAACCTTAGTAAGTAGCTAACTTATTATAGGTCTCAAACTAATTTAGAAAATCTGAAAAGTTGCTTGAATCTTTTTTCATGTAGACTTAGTTATGATAGGCTTATATCAATCAAAATTTACTGTATTTTACACCAACTCTCTAAATGGGTCAACATCATTCAATGATATGCTTTGTGAGCAATATGACTGCCTATAAAAATCAAGCATGTTATGAAAAGAGATCTGGACTTGCGAAAGAGCACGGATCTGACTCTCTGGGCACATTCCCTGTGCGGCTACGCAAATGCTTCATCTCTACAGCCCACCCGTTTCTTTTCTATAAAGTAATATTTTCAACCATCCTTTTTACATAATCCTTTTTAGCCCCACAAATGGTTTATTCTAATGCATATATATACAATTTAAATATGATGAAATAATAATGATGTCATGTCCCTATTTATAAATGAGAAAATACATTATAATTTTATATTATCCATTCTTTAATTCATTAATATGTGCAAGTCTAAGTGGCAGGGTTTGGACATAGGTTTTATTTTATTTTATTTTATTTATTTTTCTTTTTTGCGGTACCGGGGATTGAACTCAGGACCCTGTGCTTGCCAAGCAAGCACTTATTCTACTGAACCATCTCCCCAGCCCCTGGACATAAGTTTTATAAGATACCTGGCATTGTATAAAAAGGAATGTCGCAGCAAAGCAAGCATAACCCATGCTCCAAATAATGCTAAAGCAAGTAAAACACTCATTAAGTAGAAGCAGAGCCAGGGGTGTTGTTGAGTCCTCTTGGCAGAAATTTCTAACTGTGCACCCCATTCTATGCTTTCAACTACTTCCTAAAATAGATTCTCACTCACTGTACACCTTGACGTTAAGCATGGTGACGTGACTAACACAAAGCCATTGAAATATGACTATGCTTCATGCTAGGGCTGACAGATACCTCCCCTGTGCTCCACTGTGTTCCTTTATCCTGAACAGATCTTCCAGCATTCCTCAGAAGTTTGTTATCGACTATAACAGAAATTTACCTGGATCCCTGTACACACAGCCAAGCCCATTCTGTCACCAGTCCCATCCATACAGGAACAGAAAATCTTTCCCATTGTGTTTGTCCCCAAAACGTATTTGGATCTATATTTTGTAAAGCAGTTAACTTTTTCTAATGCAGTTTTCAAATAGAGTAAGAAACAGATTACATTCAATTTGCCCTCATTCTGCCTTGTTACCAATATTTGTAAGTAATTACCTACCTGATGATTCAGCGTACTCTGATTTAAGCCTACTGGATCAAAATATGTAGCTACACTTAATTGGACAACGGGATGATCAGCTCCATTACAAAATTAAGAACTGCAGCGATAATACTGGAGAATAATCTACCTAGCTTACACGTGTGTTTGTGTAATTAGCTGGTAATTATATCTGTGATTACTACTACTGATAATGCAATCAATATAGGACGTATGTGGATTCCACTGAACAGAATACTAGATTGGTTTAAAGTAATCCGTCCAGTAGGGAGCTCACTTGGGGTCTTGGTGCTGAAATTCAGGTACCTTAAATTTTCATGCTCACAACAAAGTGCTGCTAGCAACATGGAAGAAATAAAAAATGTTAAGTATATTTCGTATATACTTGTGTCTTATGGAAATTGTGAGAGGAGGTTGTATATGGGATCAATATTCTCCCTTAGTGTGGTGACTTGGGAATATAAAATCATTTAGGAATCAAAGAAGAGGTAAGGAGGAAGAGAAGCAAATGAAGATTCTTAATGAAATAGTTAAAAGACTGTTGGTATCTACACAGCTAGGCCCCCACCCCTCACAGTCTCTGAGACACCCCCTTCCTTCCTCTCATCCTCCTTATCCAATGCATTGCAGCTTCCAAAAAAATATATTTTAGGCATGCATAAAAGGAAAAAGAGACAAAAAAAAATAAGAATTAAGATACTTTATGTGAGGGCTGGCCAAATATCTCAGCAGATTAAAGTGCCTGCAAGCAGATGCAGGGGCCAGGGGTTCGATCCCCGGGCCCTGCTGTGCCAGCCCCATCAAAGAGATGAAAAGAGAAGCTATTTATTCTTAGCCTCATGGAAGGAAAAATGTGAAACACTGCACAAAAAATAGGTCGCAGAGGTTCTCCTCTTCCTACAGTTTCCATGTAAGGAATCAAGTCCCAATATTGACTAAGTCAGCTATTTTCTGGGTTTCAGCCACACCTTGACAAGCCTCTATTCCCAAGCTTTTATGAAATTGGTATTGATTTCATATTAGAAATTTATCACTATGATTTTATCATTATGATTTTATCATTCACCTGACTTAGACCTTTGAAAAGTAAAATATGGTTTACCCATCTTTTTATCTGCATAGCCTAATGCAACACCTAGCAAAAAAAAAAAAAAATAGGCACTCAATCAATTTTCTTTAAATTTAAATTAAATTTAGCAA